CTCATGCCTTTAGCATACTAATTCTCCAAGGAGGTGTCTATACTTTCCTCACCGTGAAGCTTCCCTGGTAATCAATGGAACTAGTTTTGTCAAGGACACTTACTCTCATTTTAGTCACCTCCTCCATAGAAGAAACAGCTGAGTATTCCCGTGTTGGACGGGAAGACAGGACTCTACTCTGGGTCATTTCTAGAAAAAGCTATCTCTGCTAATATTCCTTCAGAGAGAAATGAAGAAGTGATAGATGTGTACCTTTTTTCTTCGGACTCTGCTTCACAGCATCTGCTGTCCTCAGCCAAATGCAGTGGACCACCAGGCGGTGACGTGGCCTTTTCCGATGTTCCTAAAACCTTCAGAGTTCTGGAGGTCCATTTCCTGTTGTCAGTTCTCTTGACTTTATTCTCACAAGAGCTGGAGTCCCGAATTTGAAAAAATTCCATGAAAAAAGGCATTGGTTTCTAATCGTTCTACTGATAACTACAAAACCAATCTCTGTAAACTCCCCCATATTACCAATCTGAATTTATTTTCTTTAAGACATGGCCATACACCTGGGGAATGATTTCTCGCTTTCTGTCTCTCTGTCTCTCTCTGTCGGTCTGGCGAGTACACACGCCCTGATGGATGTGTGTGCGTGCATGCCCAAGATCCTGAGAAGAGAATGGAAGACAAGGGGTTGGGGCATGACCATCCACCTGGGGAATGATTTCTCGCTTTCTGTCTCTCTGTCTCTCTCTGTCGGTCTGGCGAGTACACACGCCCTGATGGATGTGTGTGCGTGCATGCCCAAGATCCTGAGAAGAGAATGGAAGACAAGGGGTTGGGGCATGACCATCCACCTGGGGAATGATTTCTCGCTTTCTGTCTCTCTGTCTCTCTCTGTCGGTCTGGCGAGTACACACGCCCTGATGGATGTGTGTGCGTGCATGCCCAAGATCCTGAGAAGAGAATGGAAGACAAGGGGTTGGGGCATGACCATCCACCTGGGGAATGATTTCTCGCTTTCTGTCTCTCTGTCTCTCTCTGTCGGTCTGGCGAGTACACACGCCCTGATGGATGTGTGTGCGTGCATGCCCAAGATCCTGAGAAGAGAATGGAAGACAAGGGGTTGGGGCATGACCATCCACCTGGGGAATGATTTCTCGCTTTCTGTCTCTCTGTCTCTCTCTGTCGGTCTGGCGAGTACACACGCCCTGATGGATGTGTGTGCGTGCATGCCCAAGATCCTGAGAAGAGAATGGAAGACAAGGGGTTGGGGCATGACCATCCACCTGGGGAATGATTTCTCGCTTTCTGTCTCTCTGTCTCTCTCTGTCGGTCTGGCGAGTACACACGCCCTGATGGATGTGTGTGCGTGCATGCCCAAGATCCTGAGAAGAGAATGGAAGACAAGGGGTTGGGGCATGACCATCCACCTGGGGAATGATTTCTCGCTTTCTGTCTCTCTGTCTCTCTCTGTCGGTCTGGCGAGTACACACGCCCTGATGGATGTGTGTGCGTGCATGCCCAAGATCCTGAGAAGAGAATGGAAGACAAGGGGTTGGGGCATGACCATCCACCTGGGGAATGATTTCTCGCTTTCTGTCTCTCTGTCTCTCTCTGTCGGTCTGGCGAGTACACACGCCCTGATGGATGTGTGTGCGTGCATGCCCAAGATCCTGAGAAGAGAATGGAAGACAAGGGGTTGGGGCATGACCATCCACCTGGGGAATGATTTCTCGCTTTCTGTCTCTCTGTCTCTCTCTGTCGGTCTGGCGAGTACACACGCCCTGATGGATGTGTGTGCGTGCATGCCCAAGATCCTGAGAAGAGAATGGAAGACAAGGGGTTGGGGCATGACCATCCACCTGGGGAATGATTTCTCGCTTTCTGTCTCTCTGTCTCTCTCTGTCGGTCTGGCGAGTACACACGCCCTGATGGATGTGTGTGCGTGCATGCCCAAGATCCTGAGAAGAGAATGGAAGACAAGGGGTTGGGGCATGACCATCCACCTGGGGAATGATTTCTCGCTTTCTGTCTCTCTGTCTCTCTCTGTCGGTCTGGCGAGTACACACGCCCTGATGGATGTGTGTGCGTGCATGCCCAAGATCCTGAGAAGAGAATGGAAGACAAGGGGTTGGGGCATGACCATCCACCTGGGGAATGATTTCTCGCTTTCTGTCTCTCTGTCTCTCTCTGTCGGTCTGGCGAGTACACACGCCCTGATGGATGTGTGTGCGTGCATGCCCAAGATCCTGAGAAGAGAATGGAAGACAAGGGGTTGGGGCATGACCATCCACCTGGGGAATGATTTCTCGCTTTCTGTCTCTCTGTCTCTCTCTGTCGGTCTGGCGAGTACACACGCCCTGATGGATGTGTGTGCGTGCATGCCCAAGATCCTGAGAAGAGAATGGAAGACAAGGGGTTGGGGCATGACCATCCACCTGGGGAATGATTTCTCGCTTTCTGTCTCTCTGTCTCTCTCTGTCGGTCTGGCGAGTACACACGCCCTGATGGATGTGTGTGCGTGCATGCCCAAGATCCTGAGAAGAGAATGGAAGACAAGGGGTTGGGGCATGACCATCCACCTGGGGAATGATTTCTCGCTTTCTGTCTCTCTGTCTCTCTCTGTCGGTCTGGCGAGTACACACGCCCTGATGGATGTGTGTGCGTGCATGCCCAAGATCCTGAGAAGAGAATGGAAGACAAGGGGTTGGGGCATGACCATCCACCTGGGGAATGATTTCTCGCTTTCTGTCTCTCTGTCTCTCTCTGTCGGTCTGGCGAGTACACACGCCCTGATGGATGTGTGTGCGTGCATGCCCAAGATCCTGAGAAGAGAATGGAAGACAAGGGGTTGGGGCATGACCATCCACCTGGGGAATGATTTCTCGCTTTCTGTCTCTCTGTCTCTCTCTGTCGGTCTGGCGAGTACACACGCCCTGATGGATGTGTGTGCGTGCATGCCCAAGATCCTGAGAAGAGAATGGAAGACAAGGGGTTGGGGCATGACCATCCACCTGGGGAATGATTTCTCGCTTTCTGTCTCTCTGTCTCTCTCTGTCGGTCTGGCGAGTACACACGCCCTGATGGATGTGTGTGCGTGCATGCCCAAGATCCTGAGAAGAGAATGGAAGACAAGGGGTTGGGGCATGACCATCCACCTGGGGAATGATTTCTCGCTTTCTGTCTCTCTGTCTCTCTCTGTCTTTCTGGTAAGTACACGTGCCCTGGAGCAAAAACGTCTCCAAAAATAAAAAGTTCCTCCCTGTTCACAAGATTCTAAACAACTTCTTGCAGTGACATCACTAATATTTTAGAGTATCTTAACATATTAAGCTATTTTTTATGATATTGTAACAGATTCTATCACAGGGACCAGCAGATAGCGTAATGGCTATGTCACTGGACTCCCATGTAGTCGACCGTGGTTTGCGTCCCGGTGGCTTAAAACTCACGCCAGGCGCATATGCGTG